AATATGTCCGTCAATCAGGTTCGCTATATTTTTCCTGTAATCTGCACTTAAAACTGAAGATCCCTGCCGAATTTCAACTCACCAGGTTGAGATTTGTAAAAGTTAAGGGGGGGACAGGGTCATTTTTTGCAATTTTTTCAAAAAAATTCAATTTCTTTCCCTCCTAGTTCCCAAATATCTTCACCAATCAGGTTCGTTATATTTTTCCTGTAATCTGCACTTGAAACTAAAGATTCCTACCGAATTTCAGCTCACTAGGTTGAGATTTGTAAAAGTTAAGGGGGGGACAGGGTCATTTTTAGCATTTTTTTCGAAAAAATTGAATTTATTTCCCTCCTAGTTCGCAAATATGTCCGTCAATCGGGTTTGCTATATTTTTCCTGTAATCTGCACTTAAAACTGAAGATCCCTGCCGAATTTCAACTCACCAGGTTGAGATTTGTAGAAGTTAGGGGGGGGGACAGCCCATTTTGCGTGGCTGGGACGGACACACGAGTGATTTCATAAGGGTTCCGTCAGTACACCTATGGTGTACCGAATTCAAAAAATGAACAGAATTTGCTTGGAACTCGTTACTCGGGGGTTTTTGGGGTCGCTGAATACGAATCTGGCATCAGATTTTCAAAATTCAAGATGGCGGATCCAATATGGCGGACACGAATCACAATCGGACAAATCACAATCAACAGACTTACACGAACGATTATCTCCACAGGTAAGTACCGACTTCAAACAAACAAATGACAAACGACAGACTAACACGAACGATTCCCTCCAAAGGTAAGTATCAACTTCATTCAAACAAACGACATTCGAGAAACTATTACTAACGATTCTCTCAACAGGTTAATATAGCTTTTACGTTGAAAGAAGGTATTTTATTGAGTAGAAGCAGTATTATTGTATGTGTTTTTTTACATCACATCCTGCATTAAGTTTGACATTTTCAGCTACTTATCGGTTAGCAATTCTTTACTAATATCTACAGTTTGTTCAATCGGATTGTCAAAAATGGTACATTATATTCAGTATCAAAAAATTAATTCTTTTTTTTATAGACAGAAATACTATGAAGAGGATTTTACGTTAAACTAGTTAATTGACTGTGGATTGTCAGGATTCATTCACTTTTGATTTGACTCTTTAATTTTATCCGAACGTTTTGAATCTTCTAAGTTTATTAATAAATTTATTAATACTCATGCCAGATTCGTATTCAGCGACCCCAAAAACCCCCAAAAAAACGAATTCTAAGCAAATTCTGTTCATTTTTTATTTTCGCGTCCGCCATATCGGATCCGCCATTTTCAATTTTGAAACTCTGATGTCAGATTCGTATTCAGCGACCCCAAAAACCTCTGAGTAACCAGTTTTAAGCAAATTCTGTTTATTTTTAATTTTCGCATCCGCCATATTGGATCCGCCATTTTTAATTTTGAAAATCTGATGCCAGATTCGTATTCAGCGACCCCAAAAACCCCTGAGTAACCAGTTTCAAGCAAATTCAGTTTATTTTTAATTTTCGCGTCCGCCATATTGGATCCGCCATTTTGGATTTTGAAAATCTGATGCCAGATTCGTATTCAGAGACCCCAAAAACCCCTGAGTAACCAGTTTGAAGCAAATTCAGTTCATTTTTAATTTTCGCGCCCGCCATATTGGATTCGCCATTTTGAATTTTAAAAATCTGATGCTAGATTTGTATTCAGCGACACCAAAAACCCCTGAGTAACCAGTTTCAAGCAAATTCAGTTCATTTTTAATTTTCGCGTCCGCCTTATTAGATTCGCCATTTTGAATTTTAAAAATCTGATGCTAGATTTGTATTCAGCGACACCAAAAACCCCCGAGTAACGAGTTTTATGAAAATAGGTTTGAAATTTCATCTGAAATACTTTTATTTTATAAGATATTACAAAAAATTGTTATTTAATATTAAAAATTATTAAAAAAATTTGCAAAAAAGTAATTGTAAATATAGTTTAGGATCTAATTTGTAAAGAAAAAAAATTATCATCTCAAAAATTAGTAAGGATAAGTAAAAAATGAATTTTTTCTGAAAAAGAAGCATTATTTTTTGTTATTTATTTGTTTATAATATTTTTATTATTAACAAATTGTGAATCAACAGTTTTCTTAGACTTGTTTAGGTATAAGGAACATGCCCGGAAAAAAACCCTAAATTTATTAATAAATATGCCATAGAAATACTGAAAACTGAGAAGGAAAAGGTGGGTCGCTGAGCGACCCACTGTGACGCAAAGGGTTAATAAGTGGTAGCTTATTTGCAATTACTGGAGACAATCTTGCAATAAGTAAGTTGGGAGGATTTAAGGAATCTTTTGGCAAGACAAAGCATCCGTGCCGAACTTGTTTTGCAGATATCACAGAAGTACAAACGATGGTCGAAGAAGATACAAATTTATTACGTACTCCTGAGAATCATGATATCTGGGTTAGTGAAATCGAAGAAGAACAAGGTAAACAAAGGGAAGCATTAATGACCAAATATGGAATTAATAGGCGAACTATTTTGAATGAAGTAGATGGATTTCACATCATTCAGGGGGCACCACCCGACTTAGTACACAATTTCCTCCTTGGAATTTTACCCAGGACTTTACAGCACTTCATTCAAAGAGTCACTCAACGGAAATTCTCAGTTCAAGAGTTAAATAAGCGCAAAGCCTCATTTAATTATGGTTACTCAGAAGTTAATGAAAAACCTCCAAAACTTAAAGCAGCTCATCTTCTACCAGGGGTGCTATTCTGTAACTTCACTTCACATTCACTTCACATTCACTTCACTTTCACTTCACTTTCACTTCACATTCACTTCACATTCACTTCACTTTTACTCCACATTCACTTCACATTCACTTCACATTCACTTCACATTCACTTCACTTTCACTCCACATTCACTTCACATTCACTTCACTTTCACATTCAATTCACATTCACTTCACATTCACTTTCAATGTGAAGTGAAAGTGAAGTGAATGTGAAGTGAATGTGAAGTGAATGTGAAGTGAATGTGAAGTGAATGTGAAGTGAATGCGAAGTGAATGCGAAGTGAATGTGGAGTGAAAGTGAAGTGAATGTGAAGTGAATGTGAAGTGAAAGTGAAGTGAAAGTGAAGTGAAAGTGAAGTGAATGTGAAGTGAAGTTACAGAATAGCACCCCAGGCGCCAATTTTAAAAAATCGGCTTCGGAAATGTGGTTACTGGTACATATAATTCCATTTATTGTTCAGAATCTAATAGACCCCGAATGTCCGTACTTTGACAACTTCATAACACTCCTACAAATATCGTCAATAGTTTTTGGTCACAAAATCAGTCTTGGCATGGTTGATCTTCTTGAGGACATGATAACCGAGTATTTGGAAAGTTTTGCAGATATTTATCGAAATATAGACACCGAAAAGGAAACAGATGAGCCTGAGAAGAAAAAAAATTTTGTGCCAAAGCAACATTACACTGTTCATGACACAAGATATATTCTAAAATATGGTCCTCTCTGCAATTACATGCGCATGCGGTTTGAGGCAAATCATCAAATTTTCAAGAGAAAAACACAAGGGATGCGGAATTATAAAAACTTACCTTTAACTCTTTCGGTTAGATATCAGCAGTGGCAAGCATTCAAATTATTAAGTCCACTAACAAAACAAATTGATTATGGTCGCCAAAAAGTTGTACCTAATTATGATTTACCGTACTCAGATCTTTTTCCGATAGGAGAAATGCTCTCTACAGCTTCATGGGTACAATATAATGGTGTGAAATATGTTGCCGGAAAATGCTTCATCCCAATTGGATACTCTGAAGACAATCTTCCTCAGTTTGGTGCTTTAGACACAGTAATCCTAACAAATAGTGGCTTTATATTTATATGCAAAATTGTGGAAACTGTTTGTCATGACTTAAGATTAATGGCTTATCGAATTTCTGTTAAATCAAAATTATATGCTAAATTTACTAGCGTTGATCTTGTCACTCACGACATATTTCATAGTCACCGATTCGAAAATGAACATTACATTTTCGTAAGAAGATGTTTCGGTGATCTACACTAAGATTTTGCTGAGGGATCAATCTACAGATGAGAGTCGTGTCAAAATTGTTCCGAGTGTCCGCAGTATATCTACAGTTTCAACAACTTTTGTTCATACTGTGGTTGCACACCCAGCAAACATTCTAAAATAGGTAAGACTATGATAAATATTAAATGAAGAAAATATTTTGAAATATAAAATCAAATAATTTATGTATTCTTGTTTATAATATTATAAATCTCAATTATTTATATTTTTCCTTTCTTATTTACAAATTGATCCCAATCATAAGCAAAACGACTCCAATTTACTTAAAGATGTAAAAATAGAAGTATATGCGGCTGAAGAAGAAGTTTTAAATTCAAATTCTTCAATACCCATGGAAGAAGACTCTTCAGAGCAGCATAATTTAGCAAACTCTTTTGCTAATTTGCCAGATGAAACAAAAGCCAAAGCAGTAAGAAATATATATATTTATATGTGACGCGATTTGAAGAAAGGGACCTTAGTAGCAAAAACATTATAGGTTATAATTGCAATTTTTGAAATGAAAATGCAAAAAAAAGATCAACTGACAATAAAAATTATTAATGTTTAAGTCTTTATTACAACTATAAAATATTTAATAAACACTGATTTTATTTTGAAAAAAGTAAAAAGAAACTTTCAATCAAGAATATTTTAACACTAACATAATCTTAAAGTGATTAACTTCAAAAATCCCTTTTTCAGATCACGTCACATATTTATTTATATTACAATAAATTACATATATTTAATAACAGAAATTTATTATAATATTACTTCTAATGCAGGAAAGACTGTCGCACCTAATACCAGATGTATTTAATGTCACTCGAGAAGCCGATGAATGTGCTGGACTTTTCTTGAACGCGTCAAAAAACGAATTCAACCGAGTTGTTCGTACTATCTCGGACAATATGAGAAAGGAAGGTTATACCTTAAAGAAAGAAATTACTTTGGTAGCAATTTTAGCTGTGCAAAAGTTTCCTGGTTTAAAAGGGACATACGGACAACCACATGTAAGTATATTGATTTTAGAAATTTTTTAGTTAGTGACTAATTTATGTTTTTATTTAAAATTATTAAAATTACTGTTTTAAATACAATTGAAAAAGAAATGATTATTATAAAAAATTATTCTATATACAATTTTAGGAAAGAATGGAAAAGAGACTCATCAATTGTTTAAAAAACAAAAAGAGAGAAGACAATAAACGGATGAATAAAAGTAAAATACAAAACGTATCTAAGAAACGCAAAATCAATGAAATAGCTGAGACATCGATGAAAGACAGCAGTTTTCATACACTTTTACAAGAAGAGTGGCGTAAATTGGATAGGGATAGAGGTCGAATCAAAGAACTATTAACAGAATCACGAGAGCAGAGAAAATTAGATGCCCAAAAATTATCAGCTTCAGAAATGCTATCAAAGTACCCGGCTCTACATGATAAAGATCTTGTAAGTTAAATGTCATATCAGTTTATTGTTTTTCAGAGTTAGATATTGTTTACTATAAGTGTAAAAAATTGTTTGATTTTTGTCTAAAGTGGCACGCATTTTCACTGTTGTCCTTCTAATTTAAATCAAGCCTGTAAAAATTTATCTAAAATTAATAGGAAATATAGTCAAACTAAAAAAAGTAATAAACGATAATATTAAAAAAAACATACTTTGGAATAAACAAATTACAATTTAAAGAAATGTAGGATTTTGTACTAAGATGCGTTTTTTTATTTTTTAAATTTTGTTAATTTAAGTAAAACAAAATTCTCCACTGAAATATGCACCAAGTCGAGTATTTAGTTGACTCTTCTCAATTGTAGAATTATTAACTAACTTTAAGAAATTTAGAGTATAATTTTTAATTTATACTTTTACAATTATAATTTAGAAAGAAACAAATTTTTCTGTTTTATTAATGAATTTAATTCATTGTCTTTATCATTGTTTAGTTTCTATGGGAATTCGAAAAGATTGTTGATGTACCTATGAAAATTATGAGACGCAATTTATTACATGCTGTGCCTAAATTGTGTGCCTTAATCGAAACGAAGCCTGAAAATGAGGAAAAAAATAATTTGATCCATTTGCTCCAAAACTTGCCGGAATTTTTCAAGACAAAAGGAAAAAATGACACCTCTTTTAATATTTTGGAAATGAATGTTAACGTAAGTTGGAACATATTTTATAATATTATTATAATATGTATAATAAAATAATTTATAATGTATTTATAATTTATAATATTTTTTAAGGAGACTGTTCCACCAAAAGACAGGCCGCCATTCTTAATTGCAGCTGACATCGAAGGACTGCAATTAAAATGCTACGTCGATTCTGAGCCGATGCATTGCTCAGACTCTTTGGAAGCAACTATTTTGCTCATTGCGTCCTATTATATTTTTAATATAGGTTATAACAAGCATTTAAAATTTCAATTTTCGCTACTAGAAAATATTATTTTTGGAAGACATGTTAGCCGACTTATACCCGCACAATGGCGTTTCCTTACGGTAACTAATATTTTAGAAAGAGCTGGAATTCTATGAACATAATTCAATATTTCATGGAATATTGTTACTTGTAATACCTACGTATTTATCGGTATATTTATTTTTTTTAGTGTACCCTGATTTTCAAATTATTTTTAGTTATCACTTTTAAGTATTACTTTTAATTACATTACTTTTAATTAAATTATTATTCATAAAATAATTTTAATATTCTAAAGACATATAATTAAATAATTTATTTATTACAAATGTGAAAGTAAAATATATTTATCAAAATTTCACTGAAAATTCAAAATTATTACAAATTATTCAAATAAATAATCACCTTATTAGCGGCAACACCTAAAGTTTTTATAATTGAGGTTCATCTGACTCCCGGTCATCCCGGGTACCTTGGTGTTAATCTAGAACTGTGTTTACGCGGTGGCAACCAAACTTTCCTGCAGATGATGTTCGACTGACTCCCTGGCATCCCGGGTACCTTGGTGTTAATCTAGAGTTGTGATTTTGGGATGAGAACCAAACTTCCCTGAAAATGATGTTCGACTAACTCCCGGACATCCCGGGTACCTTGGTGTTAGTCTAGAGCTGTGTTTACGCGGTGGAAACCAAACTTTCCTGCAGATGATGTTCGACTGACTCCCTGGCATCCCGGGTACCTTGGTGTTAATCTAGAGTTGTGATTTTGGGATGAGAACCAAACTTCCCTGAAAATGATGTTCGACTAACTCCCGGACATCCCGGGTACCTTGGTGTTAGTCTAGAGCTGTGTTTACGCGGTGGAAACCAAACTTTCCTGCAGATGATGTTCGACTGACTCCCTGGCATCCCGGGTACCTTGGTGTTAATCTAGAGTTGTGATTTTGGAATGGGAACCAAACTTCCCTGAAGATGATGTTCGACTAACTCCCGGACATCCCGGGTACCTTGGTGTTAGTCTAGAGCTGTGTTTACGCGGTGGCAACCAAACTTTCCTGCAGATGATGTTCGACTGACTTCCTGGCATCCCGGGTACCTTGGTGTTAATCTAGAGTTGTGATTTTGGAATGGGAACCAAACTTCCCTGAAGATGATGTTCGACTAACTCCCGGACATCCCGGGTACCTTGGTGTTAGTCTAGAGCTGTGTTTACGCGGTGGCAACCAAACTTTCCTGCAGATGATGTTCGACTGACTTCCTGGCATCCCGGGTACCTTGGTGTTAATCTAGAGTTGTGATTTTGGAATGGGAACCAAACTTCCCTGAAGATGATGTTCGACTGACTCCCGGACATCCCGGGTACCTTGGTGTTAATCTAGAGCTGGGATTATGCAATGGCACCCTGGTGTTCTTTGGTGTTATTCTGGAAACTTAATTACTCGAGAGAAAACAGAATTCCCGAAAGATGATGTTGAACTGACTCCTAGACGTCCGGGTGTACCTTTTGACAACACGCAGGTCAGCAATTTTTATCTCCAGTGAGGCTCAATTTGTCAAATTTTAACAAATCGTTGACTTGGTTATGATTTAATGTTAAATTTCATGGATAGTCAAAAATAACACCAAAATGGATTATTTTAATCCTTTTTGGTGTTAATTTAATCTGCAACGCTTTTTAATACCTCACGATTTACTGTGGTGTATAAGAATTTAATATATAAATTATATATGAACAAAAATAGGTAAGAGAAAATATAAAAAAATGGACCTCAATAATAATAAAAAACAAATAAATAATTTCATTTTACTACTTTAAATAGTTAATTTAACTATTTTTTACAGTTGTTACAACTACAATTTGTTACGGGCGCCTATAGGAACTATGAAAATTTAGTTACTGCAACTAAATGAAGCAGTTAGTATGACTAACAGCAAATAGTTATAGTCCTTTTTAAAAAAATTGTATTAATTTCTTAACTTTGATTAAAATAAAAAATTATAAACAATTAAAATCTGAAAAATCGGCCTTGAGGGATGTCTTAAGAATTTATTCCTCTTCAATTTAAAGCAAACAACACTCAAATCGGTTAAAAATTGTAGGCTGCAGACATTTTTGAACAGAAAATTGTAAAAAATCCCATTGTGCGGCTTGTCGCTCGGCTCCTATCACCTCTCCAAACGCTTAATTAAGATAAATTCTTGCTTGGATTTTCATTTTTTTTTTTTAATAATTAATAGTTAATGGATAAACTTCATGTTTTTTTAAATTTAACTACAGATTGCAATCTTCAAATCTGTACAAAAAAAATAAAAAATGTCAATAAACAAATTGTCTGGATTTTATTGCAAAAAAAAGTTATTTTTAGTACCCTTTGAGCTAGATTAATGATTTTTTTTATTAAAAGTTGCAGGAAGATACAAGGAATTAAAAAGCTTTTATCCCGATTTCCTAAAATAAAATTTGATCGAGATATGCTTAATATTGTTTATAGTGAAAAAATTGACCTTTTTTTATTAGTTATTTTTTGACAATAAGAAATTTTTTTTAATTCTACAATACATGTTATCAATAATACAGATCCTTAAGAGTAAAGTGCGACTTCAAAAACATTTTTTTAATGATTCACAGATTTGACATTCAATACAAAAAAAAGTTTGTTAATTAACAATTAGATTCTGGAAAAACTATTAATCCGATCGGGTCGAAATTTGGTATACTTATTAAGGGCCTCAAGGGCAGTAATTTTGCTAAAGGAAATATAGATTCAATAATAATTAAATCAATTATTAAATATTTAAAAATCGTTTGATTTTTATTTTTAAAATTCGGTAGCTCGTAAAAAAATTGTTGAAAAATACCGTGCAACCCCTTATTAGTTAGATATTCTTAAGATCTACAACTTTTAATAACAACTTTTTTGTCCAAAATTTCACTGAAAATAGCAATTGACAAAAAACTGATTTTGTCAACTTAAAAGATTTATAACAATAAACGCGCTCTGTCTTAGTTGGTACAAACTGTTGGGCTTTGTTTCTAGGCTACTAATATATCAAATAGCATTTTTTCTATTGGATAGGATTTATGTCACGTACTATTGATAGGACGCCTGGACTATTATGAGAAAGTGAAATTTTGAGTTTCTGAGGTCAGAAAATAAAGAAAATTGAGTTTAAAAATTTTCTGTAAATCAATGCTTCCATGAGGTAGCAAATTATATGCTTTATTATTATATCGGACAAGAAAACTATATGTAAGTGCAATATGGATTTAATTTGTTTACAAAATGTTTATAACAATAGTAATTGATAATTTCATTTTTTATTTTGTTAACATTTATACAAACAACTTAATAATCAAAATAAGATGAAGGATTAACTAAGCAGAAGTAGAACAAGATTGTGCAACACATGGATCTTAGATGTGACACATTTGCGTAAGTGCAAGGTATGTGCACTGCAGAACAAAAAATTCGATATTTCGGTTTGTTTTAAAGTCTCCAGAAATTTTTTTTGCAAAAAATTCTGCAGAAGATAAGGAATCCAAATATCATAGTTTCAAAAGAATCAAAGGGGTGCTTTTGCCCGAAAAAATGAAATCAAAATTTTTTTTACTTTTTTCCGGGCTAATTTTGGATTTTTTTTAAATATTACACTTAAAATTGTTAGAAAATCAATGATTATTACCCAAAATATATACAAAATTTAACTAAATAAATAAAAGTTATTCGTTTTTTAAAAAAATGTACTTTAATGCTTGATGCCCTGTAAAATCCATAATTTTGAAAATTTTCAAAAATCGGTTTTTCCTAAAATCTTCTGTCATAAAACATTACATTTATACCAAGTTTTACAACAATTGAAAGATCCATGACCAACTTTTTGAATTTTTCGAGAAAATTTGACCCTAATATTAATTGTGAATTGGTTCTTTCCAGTATAAAAAAAACAAAAAAGGGCATTCTGTAAATTTACATGCCGATAGGAAAAAACCTCAGCTTTCGTTTGCAATAGTTTATTTTCAAATAAAACGGACCGATTTTTAAGAAATTGAAAATTAAATATTAATTACCAAAAATTAGGGTCAATTTTTAAAATACCGTAAACTGTGGCTATTAGGAACAGATTTCAACTTTAAATTCTTGCAACTTTTTTGTGTATTGAAATATTGCCTTAATTTTTTGTTTCTTTTCTTGATCTTGGCGAGCACATTGGAGGGTTAAATAATTGTCTTGATCAAAGCTATAATTTTAAGCAAAAAGAAAAAAAGACGCATTTTTCCAAAATTACAAAATGTGGCTATTAGGAACAAGACGGTAAAAACTATTAGAAAACGTATTTAAAGTTAAAGAAGTTATTTTTTTATTGCTCGAAAGTAAACACAGAATATAAAACAAATGTAAAAACAAAACTAAAAGAGCGAATATGGCTAAGAGTCCGTCAGAAAAATTACAATTTGCATGGGGTCTTCGGATTATTCTGTAATTTGGTGAAGTTGTTATATAATTGATAACAAAAATAAGTGTACCAAAGGATTTTAAAAAATTTTCAAAATTGTATCATGTCCTTTCAGAATTTTTCAAAAGAAAAAAAAAATTTTTGTCTTTTTCAAAAAAAAGTTTAAAAAAATTTTTTGAATCGATTTATCAAGCACGGGACCGATTCTTGAGTATTTTTCGATATTTAATAAAATATTCCTTATAATTTAACCTTTCATTCAAAAAAAAGAAAACGATAGAGACTTTAAGAGTTTTTGAGATATTGCAATTTTTGTAGAAGCGCGACCACGTTTCAGTGCCAGCGCAGTATCTTTTACCCGGAACGCCTCACAGTGGGATTTTTTACACTTTACTCTTCAAAATTGTCTAGAGCCTACAAATTTTATTGGATTTTGATGTTCTTGTTCTTAAATGAAAGGGGATAAAATTTCTAAGAGATCCCTTAAAACCGATTTTTGAATTTTTAATTGTTTATTCATTTTTTTGTTACTCAAAGTTAACAATTTACAATATTTTTTTAAAAAATACTGTTTATTTTTTATTTTTCTATTGCACAAGATCGAAATCAATTTAAAATAGTCTAGTCTGACTACCTGACAAATAATAATCCATAATACAGTTTATTTAAATTGTTAAGA